GGGGGGGGGGGGTGCAAGTGCACCCTCCCCACCCCTTAGTCCACCCCTAGTTAAAGGATTAGGGCAGGGATTCTCCACCTGGGTGCTGGGGCATGCTGGGGTGCCACGTGATCCTTTCAAGGGCACTGGAGGTTGCCGTGCAGTGTTAGGACTGCCATGTGTGCAAGCTTGATTCACGAGATAAACCCAGAGACTTCAAATAGGAATTCATATTGTTAAAAACACTCTGACCTGTTGTGGATTTTCTAAGTTCTTTGCAGCAGAAGAAAATGCTCTGTTGTTTTTCTGTTGTCCCAAAACAAAGAGTTATGAAAACTAAGCTGACATTTTCTGAGGGGAGCCTCAAGTCCAGTGCGGGGTGTCTTGAGTCTAAAAAGGCTGAGAACCACAGGATTAGGGAGTGGGATGAGTTTTGCCCTTCTACAAGTGGCATCACTGTTGCTTTTATCTTTGAAGGATCTTGATCTTAAGGTTAACATCAAGAGAACAGAGTCCATTTTTTCTAGGCACCAAGTCTGCCAAACCCTGCCTGTTTTTGTCACTCCCTCTTCTATCACCCCCCAAGCCTTACCTATGTGACAGAGGGTTTGCAGCCTAGATGTGGAAAGACAGACTCTCCCTACCAATTTTCTGACTGGATAAGCTATTCTGGCAAAAGAATTGGCAGTATAACTGCATCTCTACCCAGGCTTTGGCTGTCCTATCTGAGTTGGTCAGGTGAATGATTTGTTATCATGCTTCTGATAGATATGCTGTCAAAACTCTATGTAGACCAGGCCACATTTGTGTCTAATTCTGTTTTGCCTTTTATCAGTATAAGTCTAAAATAACTATTAATTCAGTGAGACATTCCAGATTTATACTGCTATAACTGAGAGCAGCACTTGGACAATGGCCTGCTTTTACATCTGTGCTGCTAAGCAGACTTGCACATACTTGCCACAAAATAATCAGACTTCTCTCCCCCTTTGTTACATTGTACACCTCAGAGCTATGCTCTCATCTGAATGTTTTGAGAAGAAAATCAAATGTAAAAGGTCTAAGGGCTGATGAGATGGACTTGTTAAAGAAGGTAAAAGAGCTGTTTCATAATAGCCTCCTGCTTGCCTGCAAGTTTTCCCCCTGATTTCCTAATGTTAGATGTAACAGAATATAGCTGTATGAACAGAGCAGTACTAAAGCTCCTCCTCCCTTAAGAAATCATCAGTTGCAAAATAAAGGAGGAAAAAGAACTTCCAACAAGTGTGGGCTGAGATACTCAAAATAAATACCATGTATAGTTTTGCCCCAGAAGAAAACATACATGATATGAAAGAAGCAGTCATAGTCTTAATGCATAAATTAATCCACACACAAGAGTCTGTTAACCCACTGAAAAAACTGAGTCCCATTTTGTCAGATGGATGTTATGGATATGATGCTTTGTGGTACTATGGATCTCCAGTGACTATTCTTTGGACCTCTTTGCTTGGAAATAAGCAGGGACAGATTTAGAAAGAAAAAGTAGTGCCTTGCCCGTATATTGTGTTCTACGACCGGAGATGGCACAAGGAGATTCTGCTTCTTGTTCTAGAATACGCAGTGCCTCTTCTTCCTCACATGCTTTGATCAGCAGTGACATGGTTTACAATGCTGATTTTTTTTAAATTGCCATTAAGCTTCAGATTTAATCCCTTAAATGCTGTATTTACCTAAATACAAGACAACCCTGAATTTAAGATGACCTCCCAATAATTAGATTCTGTATACAGAAAATGTATAAATGTATTATAATTTTCCATGTATGGGATCTAATGATTGGAGGATCATCTTAAATACTTTCCCTCATTACGCAGGTGGTGGGGGCAGAGGTGATGAGAGGGGCAGTAATGGGGTAGGTGTGGGGGGACAGTAGGGGAGGCAGTACGGAGACACATGGTAGAGCAGCTGGTGGGAGGGCATTAAGGGGGCAGGCAGTAGATGGAGCAATGGGGCGGCAGGCAGTATGGACATTTGGGGGACAGGCAGTGAGAGGCAGGCAGTTTGCTGCCTGCCT